AAAACTGCGGGGAACTATGCAAAAAACGCATCTTCGCACGGACAGCCCGTGCGTTGGCCAATTATTGTCTTTAAAGCAACATTCAACTTTCTCCAGCCCCTCCGCCTCCCTCGCAGTTAACTATACCCCAGCTCCTTCTTTACTCCGAGTCTCCGCGACCTAAACCAGCACCACTCCTCTCCTCCTTTCCATTCATCACCACCTCCATCCCGTCTCCCCCCCTCCCCCCTCCTCCCGCTCCCTCCCTCCGCCTTCTCCCCTCTCCAATTCTAGGTTATCCAGCCACAAAACGCACAAACTAGTGCATATCGTGTAGCCGAGCTGAGCTTAGCAGTTGTCAGTTCCAGTCCCCCGCTTGCCCTGAGCCACTGCATCCTGGATCCGCAGCACACCATTCCATCCCCCAAATTTATATAACCCTGTGCTTGTATCCGTAGTCGAGTGCATATAGCAAGACCGGAGCGAGTTCCCGTAGTTGCTTTTCCCAATCCCTTCCTTGTCCTGAGGATGAAACCTGCGCTGCACCACCTTTTCTTCCTCTCTACCATCACCTAGCTTTGCGCACGTTGCGTCCCGGTGAAACCCCCGATGGCCAGCAGCAGTTCCCGCGATTCATGTACGACGCCAGCCAACCTGAGCCAGACCAAGCCAACCTCAAGGACGCCTCTACCGGCACTCGCTCCCCCTTTCCCCTCGCCCCTCTCCACTCTACTTTTTTGGGGGTAGAAAGTAGGGTGAAGTTTGTGGTTGACGAAGTCCATGTGGGTTTTTTCCCAGCGTGAAACTTGATGCCGATGGGCAGTTAGCAATTTTGAAGGATAACCTTACCCGAACAAAAAGTCACGTACTTCAATTTCCTTAGCTTAAATAAACCGGAACTCAAAAGTGCGCGGGTATTTGCGCAACCGAGCCGAGTTTTAGTGGCTCCCCAGTTGGAGGGAGCGTGGATCAGAACTTCTTAGAGGGTTTCTGAAAATCACGGAGCTTCACTTAGGAGTTGTACTCGTCATCTCCACGCGCAACAATGGGACACATCACACTGCGCTATCAGCACCCACATTTGTTTACATATTCACATCTCCTGTAATGCTTGCACTTGTTTCTGCAAGGTCATGGGATTTCGGCTTTTAGCTGTAAGAAGAAATTAGCGAGATTTTTCGGTATGTCCCCTTTTGCGGAAGGCACAACGAGGATGAGGGCGAGTCGCCAAAGGCTCTTGTTTTTTTCGGTCATCGGCGAAAAGGCAGAGGAACGGAAGATGAAAAGAGAAATACGTCAGGTAAA